TTTTATTTTATTTTATTTTATTTTATTTTATTACCTTTTTAATTTATTACCTTTTTAATTTTTTTATTTTATTTTATAATTTGTTTTTATTTGCTTTTTCATTTGACTTAACTTCTTTTTTATTTTTTACTTTTTTTAACTTTTTTTTAAGATGATAAACACACTGTTAATTATTTTTAACCCCAGATATATTTTAGATTCATTCTCATACTGTCTTGTATGTTTGTTTTTGTTTACATTATTTTGTCTACATTATGTTAAAATACACTGTTAAAATTACTTGCGTTTACTAAAGAAAAAAAACCCACATTCGCACACACACTAGCTTGTACATAAATGTATGAATTAAAACATAAAATACCATTAACATAGACTTGTTGTTAATATAAACAGTTTATTTAAATCATTTAAAATTTTCCTCACAACCCAAACTTTTCAGGGTGAAGTTTGCCTTTTGAGCCGTCAGCTGTATTTTTTTCATCAGAAACTTCGTTTTTTTTTTTTAGAAGGTCATATCCTGTGTGTGTGTCCGTGTTTGTGTGCGTGTGTGTGTAATTGTGCGCCTGTGCGCATTTTTAAAAAAGCAGTTTAAGAAGACGAAATAGGTCTTTAAAAAACGGCACAATGGCGGCTGATGCTGCGTAGCCTTGGTCACACACACACACACACACACACACACATATATACCCTATTTCGTTTCTCCATCACAGTCTCGCCCTCACCCGCTCTGTTTCTCTCCTTCGGGGAAAAAAAAAAAAAAAAAAAAAAACCCTGAAAATTCAAGTAAACATGTCACAATCTGACGATTTCTTTATTCAATGAGTTAGTTTTTTTTTTGATCCAACCATGAAAAAAAAAAATAGGAAAACCAAAGAACCAATCAATTCTGTCCTTTTCTCCTGTTCTAACTTTATTATTTCCTTATTTATCCTTGGCTCGTTATCGTTCTAAGAATGACAACCTCCTTTCCGATTCCTCACTCTTTATAAACCGTACTTTAAAAAAAAACAACAACTTCACAACTTCCTCCTCACCTCCTCCTTTCCCTCCTCCCGTTTGGATGGATCAGATCCAAACCAATCAAGCCAGACTGAAACATCTCAGGTTCTGTTTTCGTCATTCTCATGTTTGTTTCTCTTCCTTCCAGACATTCACACCAAAAAAGTGCGGAAGGTCCCTCCTGGCTTGCCGTCCTCCGTAAGTGAAATCACACTGTTCTGTTCTGTCCTGTCGTCCTCTCTTGGTGGTGGTTGTGATTGTGAGTTGACGGCGGTGTCTGAGGCGTCGTGGCTGGTTCCGTCACTGGTCCTGGTTCAGTGGTTCTGGCTTCAAACGCTGACGAAGCGGTCGGTTTCCCGCGGTTGGCGCTTCAATCTGTTGGAGTCAGATTGAAGGTGTCCACTGACGTTTTCTAAATTGAACGAACGTCGTCGACGTTCTTGCTTCACTTCTCGACAGCGCCGACTGTTTTGCACTTTTTGCACTTTTTGCTCTTGAATGATTGGTCGATTCTTCCAGTGATCCGTTCCTCTGTCCTTAAATCCACGTTAATCCCAGCTTCGAACTTCAGTCAGATTTTAGGAATGGAAATGATCTCTAAGATTAAATCATAAAATAGTGCAGTTAATGGTGAACGGTGATGTTCAGTGTGAATGTGTGTGTGGGTGTGTGTGTGTGTGTGTGTGTTTGACTTGTAGAACCCAAACACACACTCTGTCTGACTGACTCAGTTTGGACTTTCTGGACTTTGTACACGTCGCCCAGACGGTAATTTCACGATGCAATGCTCAAACTCTGAGATGGGTCACAGAGGTCAGAGGTCAGAGGTCATTTATTTGTGGTCATATGTACATTTTTTTTTTTTTACCTTTCTACTCGGAATCAATCAATTTGATATATTTATAATCAGTATTAATCATTTGATTCACTCAGGATTTTATTGAGTGATCCAACATTTTAAATAATAATTTGAGTTCATTTTTTTTTGTTTTTTTTTTTAGTTTTTCCATGGTTGTTCTTTAACCCCAGGAGTTTTCAAACCTATTTGCTTCGTGCAAATATCTCTTTATTGCCGTGTCAGCGCTCATGAAAGCAGTGACAAATGTGTTCCATAGAATATTCCCCCAGAATAATCTCAGAGGTATTGCATACTTGAGAGGCAAACTTCCCATAATGCTTTGCGGCATGTGTTTAAAAGACAGCCAGCTCTGTCCAATGTGTTTTGTGTTCTTTTTGGTTGCATGTTATGTCAAATAAATAAATAAATAAATAAATAAAGCCATCAGGTATGTAACTAGCGGGAGACCCTCTATTTTAGTTTTCACAATTACTCACGTCATGGTATCGACGTACTGCGATGATCACTCATCACGTCGACTGTGAATATCAATGGCAGTACCTGACAGAGGTTGGGAACAGAACTTTTCATTTAGAAAACGTCTTTCTTTCTTTACCCGTGTTTGTTTATGCCATTCAAATGATCAAGCTAACAAGATAGCTGGTTAGCTAGCTATCCATCTATCTGTCAATGTATCTGCCTGTGTTCTCTGTCAATGCACTTGTCAAGCTAGCTAATTAGCCAAATAGCTATCTAGCTGCCCATTACATTGACACATACAGTATATGTAAGTATATGTGTGTGTTTATCATATTAGGCATATGTCTATGAGATCAGCAATGTATTTAGCTAACAAGGTAGCTACTTAGCTATATGCTTACCTATCAATCATTTTACTGCATCTATCCATCCATCCATCCATCCATCCATCCATCCATCTATCTACCTATCTTCTTTATATATCTAACTACTTTATCACTTGTTTGTTTTTGTTTTTGTTTTGAGGTTTGTTTACTTTTGTCTACGTTTCACTTTAAATCTTTGAATAACTATTCCTTTCTTAACCCAACAACTAACTTTAACACGTGTGGATACATTTTCACATTCTTAACTTCAGGCCAACATTAATACTCACCCTTCAGTCAGTCTCGTACACGTTCATTGACGTATCGTTAGGGGGTCCCTGCTCCACCTCCGCACTGAAGACTGAGGTCCAAGGACAGGAGCAGAGACAGAAAAGAATTTATATCTTTAAACCTCTTTAAACTTTTAAACTTGAAAGAAAAACTCTGATTTAAATGTGCTGATAAATTCCAAATTCCCTCAGTCCCTTTGTTTAGTTTCACTTTGTTTCCTCTCGTTTTCGAGTCTCACTTTTCCACCTTTGAAATGTTTTGTTTTCCTCTGCTTTCATCTGTCTCGCACATTCTCTGCAGGCGAAGGTTCTGGTTTCTTTCGACTCCTTCTCTCTTTTATTTTAATTAATTCATTCCATAACCTCCTCCCCCGTCGCCCCCTCCTCCTCCTCCTCCTCCTCTTCCGTCTCCCTGCGCTGCAAGTTTGTTATTGCTATTTGTCAAATTTAGTTTGCTGAGTTGATGATTTACTTTGAGAAACAATTAAACGTCACTTGAGAGGAGAGCGTGGGACGTCTGTGTAATCAAAAGGAAATTAGGCATCAGTTGCTAACATTAGCAGGTTGCAGGGAGTCGTCGCTGTGTTTTGTTTTTTCTTCTTTCTTAGTGTTGGTTTTGGGAGTAAAACGGCTCGTTTTTTTTCCCTCGGTTTATCGGTGTTTTTGGTTCATTTGTTGCAGAGTCTCCTCCGTCTCGTCCTCTGAGCTTTGCTAATGCTTTGAGGGGAAACACACGCGCACACTCACACGTGTGTGAGATTCATCAGAATTATCACGCCAACAACGGTCAAAGTGAAACTAGGAAACGAAGACATTAAGTGAAATGTCAGAAACAGAGATTGAATGTTCATTTTTATTGCCTTTCTCCGCCCTCTGTAGATTCAGTGACGAACGTATGAGAATCAGTCATATTTGAGGAAAAGAATAGATGTCTTCTATTAGGGTCTACAGAGAAAAACAGTCGGAGTTTAGGGATTTTTTTTTTTTTTTTGGTTGTTTTAGGGGGGGGGGGGTACAAATTGAAAATGGTAAATCATTTAAAACTTTCAACTGTCAGGAATCAACTTCAAAGGAAAGAAGCTTGATAAAAAAAATCAGTCAGCTGATAAAATGTACATTCATCTACTCTATGACATCATAGCCACAAACTCACTGATTAATCATTTCTATTACATCACTGTTTCACCAAACCACTTAGCTTTTGTTACTGTCTTCTGCTTTAACTTTTTCCAAACCAAAGTCCATTTAAAAAAGCTGTGATTTTACATTGGCAACACTGGAGACAACAAGTTACTGTTGCCTTTGGTAATATTATTATTTATTTATTTATTTTTTGTTATTTGGAAACTTCTTCTGGTCCAAATTAATTGTTGCGATTTGCTTCAGTGGCACCAACTGACCACATGGGGCATCGGCAGACAATATAATTTTGGATTTCCTCCATGGACTTAGGTGTGGTGGAGTTGGTGGTTTAAACAGTAACAGTTATAAAAAAGTTATTAGTTGCTCGTTTTTAAATGATGCATTGGCCGCAATATTATTGAGAAATAAAACATTTTTAAAGCCATAGTTTTTCACTGATATCGATTTGGAGTGAGCCCTTTGTTGATTGGCTGAAATCTGAGCTTTTGTATCAAATTCCCATGATCTTTACAGTTTGGTTTTTTTCTGGTAATGTAATTTAAAACATGTTTTCTGTAACTATAACAAAAAACAAACAAAAAAAAAAGATTGCATTCTTGAAACTGCTTTTTATATTCAAAATGTAATTCTTATTCATGGGATTTAAGCCTTTACTCTAAAACCCCCAAAACATCACAGATTTTTTTATCGCTGAAACAAAAACGTTTTTTTTTTTTTTTGGATCCTTTGAAGTATTCATGTATTATCTGATTTTGTTTGTTCAAATTCCACTCACTTAAAAAAAGTGGCGTGTATTAGCACCGTGACTGTAGATCTCAGCCTCCGTCTCTTTCACTCTGGGCTCAGATGTGCTTTGGTTTAAAGTCCACAGCGTTAATTAAATTAAAGCAGGTCTCGCAGAAGACGCAGTCGGAGAGGCCGCGGCTGGTTCTCTCTAGGCCTCTCTGTGGAGGAGGGATGGGAATGAGTGGAGGGCTGCGGCAGGGCCCCGTGGTGGGGGTCCAGGGTAGTGGTTTGGTGAGCCACACTGCCCCCCTCAGGCGGGTAGAGGTGCCACAGAAGAAGCCTAAGACCTCACTGTGCAAATAATTGAGAGTAATCCAAACTGGATGAATTCTAGATTATTGTTAGGTTTTGTGTTGAAGATAAATATGTTGGAAATGTTTATATAAATATATGTGATATGTCGGATTTTGGATATGTTTAATTTTGGCAAATGGCAAACAAATTGCTGTATCCCTTAAAAATTAGCCCGTGGCAAGTTAGGTTAAAAGATGGCACAGCGTCAGTAAAAAAAGGTAAAAAAAAAAAAAATCCTTAAGTTAGCAAAAAAAAAAAACCAAAAAAACTTAAATTTACTCGAAAGGCTTGCACTTGATTTTATAAGTGCTTGATTGGTGCTTGAATTTGACCTGGAATAAATATTTCTGAACTGTACCTTTAATGACAGTCTTTAATTTGACAAAGTGAAGCGACCCAAACCTGTCTGTGAAGACATTTGGCTTATGAAGAGACCACACACACACACACACACACACACACTGCTGCAGATGTGAGTGTTTCCTGGTCTCATTCCTCAGCTCAAATATTTGGCCTCGGCGAGAGAGAGCGACACTGATTTACTCCCGGGTTGTTCTGTCTCTCGTTCGCTCCCACGTGCACACGCACAGACGTGCACGTTTGCACGCGCATCAGCCTACATGTGGTGACAACACTGCTCCGAGTGGTTGATAACGTGTTAAATATTTCTCAGCTGCAGCACCGACGTCAAACTCCGCGCTGCCTTCACTGGTTTCGTTCAGCGTGCGCGAGGGTTTTTTTGGGAGAGTCAGAGCCGCGGTCGTTAACAGCCAGGGCTCTGAACTGACGTTGAGATGGATTTCATTATGCTTTTCCTCGTTTTGTTTCTAACAATATCTCCCAGGGAGTCGTAGTAATTTGTCAGATTCGGTTTTTATTCCGGAAGACGTTGGCAATAAAAGTTTGAGTTTTGAGCACAAATGTACGAATTTCATATGACGGTACTGTACTGTACTGTACTGTTTCTTATTTTACAGATGATGCGGTGGCTAATTCAAAGGT